GTGCAAATCGGAACTGTGAAGCTCAATTTCTCAGCACCAAACTCAATCATCTGAATTGGGTCCTACAGGCAAATGGCTATTCCAGGAATGAAATCAAAAGGGCCCTCAAACCAAGAAAACAATACCAAACTGAAGAGGAAAAACAGCCACCCACAAATAAAGTATTTCTGCCATACATCAAAGGGGTCATGGACCACATGGAGAAACTTTTGAGAAAACACAACCTACAAAAAGTATTCAGACCCAACACAAAAATACAACAAACGTTACGGTCAGCAAAGGACAAAAGGGACCCCCTCACCACTGCAGGAGTATACTGGATACCTTGCAGTTGTGGACAGGTATATATTGGAACCACAAAATGCAGCATTCACACCAGAATCAAAGAATGTGAGAAACACTGCAGACTAAAACAACCGGAAAAATCTGCAGTACCTGAACATACCCTAAAACAAGCTGGACATGAAATTCTATTTCAAAATACTGAGGTACTGGACAACACCAGCAATCAGTATGTTAGACTCCCACTTATCACAACAATACATCCGCAACAAAAACACCCTGATCACCCTATCTCCTGAAAAGGACAAAAGCTGTTCCCACAGCTATAAATACTCAACTATCCAACAAACAGCAACAGAGCATGGACAGAGTTCCTACTCCAGTCCTCTGAATATGTCAGCCACAGAGACTGGCGAAACGTTAGGAAGAACAACCTTCAGAACACGGCCAAAGAGCCCAAAAAACCACAACAACGATCAGATCCCGGCCGTGAAAGCCTTTGAGAATACAATGCCACTTGTGTTGTTTCTGGTTGTCAAGAAGAGACCAGAAGATCTTTGCTCTAATCTTATGTGATGGGTTTCAATGAGCCTCAGGAAAGCAATGAGGTGGAAAGAAAACTGCATGAGCTCAAGAACGCTAACATTTCCTTTCTCTAATCAGTTATGCATTACTGCTTTGACTGAGACCTTCCGAAGGAGAAGTCCTCTCAAGGTTCATAATTAAGATGTTGTTGTTTAATCGTTTAGTCGTGTCTGAAAGGAGAAGTCCTCTCAAGGTACATAATTAAGATGTTGTTTAATTGTGTCTGACTCTTCATGACCCCATGACCAGAGCACGCCAGGCCCTCCTGTCTTCCACTGCCTCCCGGAGTTGGGTCAAATTCATGTTGGTAGCTTCAATGACACTGTCCAACCATCTCATCCTCTGTCATCCCCTTCTCCTCCTGCCTTCACATAAATAGGACAGGTGCTGCCAAAATAGTCAATACATTATTATGGAGGGGGCAAGGAAGAAGCAGCCCACTGAGATACCATCCAATGGATCTGGCTTACGAAGCAAAACTGCAGTGGGTGGGATTGACCACATGAGCTGCCAGAGGGTGAAATAAGCTAAAATGGATAGTTGACACTTACAGGGGCCAAGCTACTGGTTCATACAGTACTTCATCTGATTGGCTGCAGGTGTGCCTTAGCATGTTGGGTCTAATACTAGACACTGAGCTACAGTGAAATGTTAAGTTTTACTCTGTGGAAATAGAAGAAATAAGGCTTTATCTAGCATGCCCATTGTCCTGTCTGATACACAATATCTTCAAGAACCCTCTATGTCTACTATCCAGGAATCCTCTAAGAGGCACATGGGGTCCTAGTCAGTGTGCAAGAAATTCTACAATGGCTAAAAACCTATGCATTAGAAAAATAATACAGAATCAGTAAATCAGGTCAAAATGCATGTGTAAGTGGGTATCACATATGGCCTAAACACAGTCAACACTTGATGTTATACAGGTATCTAAAAAGCTTTTGTTAGAGAAAATGTTTTCTTATGTCAGCTGATGTGCAAGGATCCATAAAAATAAAGAGGAACTGTATGAACGATTTAACTATTATAAATCTCAGAAATATTTTGAAAAGAGACTTTTTGATTACAGTACTAACTTTAACACCTAGCAGTAAAACAGCAGTTCTTCTTAAGTAGCTATAATTTCTATAGCTCATGAGTCTCACAGAAAATCACATACAGAAAGGATACTCAGTGGCATGTGGAAGGAAAGCATTCTTTTCTTAGTCTACTGTTGTTACACCAATCAGGTGTGTAGTGAAAACAGACATTCTGATCTTGCAGCCTTTCAAGCACAAACACATAGTTTACTGTGGTGTACTCCTAACTAATATACATAGGATTATGGCCTTATATATATTTGATGTAATTTTTGTGTGTTTGAACTACCTGGAAAACATATTTGTTGAAAAGCTTTGTTCAACATCTGACTAGATTTTGTGTAAGTGTCACAGAATAAGTGTGAGTGGAGGAGAAATCAATAAAAATTGTGGCAGCTGGGCCCTTGAAGTTCTTTGGCAGAATCAGTCTGTCTCCATCCTTCAGTGAAACTAATCTTTGGGATGTTCATCTCCTTTTGTTTATCTTCCCCTCCAACTCCCTCTGCTGCCTTCCTTTGCCAGACCATTAGCTCCTTATAGCAGGGACCTTCTAATTCATTTCTACACATTTTCTGGATGGGACAGGAGTGAAAATGGGAACTGATAAACAAATAGTCAATAGTCACCTTATTACCTTGAACGAGTTCAAATCTCCAGGGCTGGATGAACTGCATCCAAGAGTATTGAAGGAACTCTCAAAACCACTGTCCATTATTTTCTTGAAATCACAGAAAATTGGTGAGGTACCAGATGATTAGAGGAGGGCTAAACATGTCCCTATCTTCAAAAAAAAAAAAAAGGCAAAAAGGAGGAACCTGGGAACTACAGACCTGATAGCCTGACATCAATCCCTGGGAAAGTTCTGGAACAGATTACAAAGCTGTCACTCTGAAAGCACCTTGAAAACAATGCAGTAACAACTAGAAACCAACATGGATTTGTCACGAGCAAATCTTGCCAGACTAATCTGATCTCATTTTTTTGATTGGTAACCTCCCTGATAGACAAAGGGAATGCTGTAGACATTTTATATCTTGACTTCAGCAAAGCTTTTGACAAAGTGCCCCATGATATTCTGATTAGCAAGCTAACTAGGTGTGGGCTGGATAGAACAACGGTCAGGTGGATAAACAGTTGGCTAAAGCAATGGTCCCCAACCCTCTTGGGGCAACGGACTGGCTGGGGAGAGCGAGCTACATGCGTGAGAAGTGCAGGAGGGCGGAGATCTGTATCCACAGCTCAGTTCCAGAAAGCCCACAGACCAGCACCGGGCTACGGACCAGGAGTTGACAACCCCTAGGTTATAGAATCATACTCAGAGAGTGATAATAAATGGCTCCTTCCCCAATTGGGAGAAGGTAACAAGTGGGGTACCCCAGGGCTCAGTCCTGGGCCCAGTGCTCTTCACCATTAATGACCTGGATCAGGGATATAGGAAATGTTAATCAAATCTGTGGATGACACAAAACTGGCTGGAATAGCTAACACCCTGGAAGACAGAAACAACATTCAAAATGGTCTAGATAGGCTTGAATACTGGGCTGAAAACAATAGTATGAAATTCAACAGGGATAAGTGTGAAGAATTAGAAGGCATATGGGACTTGTAGTCATACAAAGATGGAGTCTTAAGTTTTCTGTATACAGTAGTTTGGATTTAAGCCAGTGAATGTTCTCATGGGATTGTTGTTCCAAGTTTGTTCTGCCTGCCACCAAGATAAGGAACAAGGTTTGAGAAGATCAAGAGAACAGAGGGAGACCAAACACCACATTCCTTCCAATTGGGAACAATTGCAGACCTCTTGTGAAATAAAACGGTAAACTTTGTTACACCCTTATAATCCTAATTGGCTAACTGCTTGGAAGTGTAAGAAAGAGGGTGGTCTGTAGATGAGTAGGAAAATGGTTGTTTCCTGTATGTGAGATGATTGAAGAAGAGAAAGGTTTTTGGTTGTTGTGGGTTTTCCGGGCTCTTTGGCTGTGTTCTGAAGGTTCTTCCTAACGTTTCGCCAGTCTCTGTGGCCGGCATCTTCAGAGGACAGCACTCTGTGCTCTGGTGTAGTTGGCTTGGGAGTGGAGTATTTAGTCTTTTGAAAGAGAAAAAACGGGGGAGGAAGATTTGCCCATTTTTCCTATTGTGTTGATATGTAGAATGCTTATCAAGATGATTACTTAGTTTACTTCAGCTGTTATTATTTTAACCTAAGAACAATAAACGTATTTGAATTATAGTAACTGTTTGGATATGTATATGCTTTATACTTTTAAAGCCGCAACTGTATTTTAATGGAACTATCTGATTTTCTTAATAAAACAAATATAATTCTAACACAGGACATCTCGTACAGCAGGACTGTACCTAAATCCAGTGTGGAATGCAAAGGTCACTAATTGCTACTATAACAGATCCTACCTAGTCTGTCTGTTGTGCTGTCTAAGGAAGCACACAATGGTTTATCGCCTTGCAGGTAGGCAGAAGTCTATTTCAGGTCGAGTTTGTCCATACCCACTTGTGAGGCTAAAGGACCTGTCTCAGGTAAGAAAAGTGGTGGTCGCCCAAGACACTATCTCTCTAGGGAGAAGTGGTTCTAACAATACTTGCAAAGTACTGTATCACATAGGAGGTCTGTTGGTTTTCCATTTAAAATAATTGTTATTCAAAGAGTTAGATGGTGGTAAAAGTGAAGAAGGAAAGCATACCCGTTTCTTGATAATAAAAAGGAGAGTGTGGTGCTAAAATGTTTGGTTCCACAGGCCTGGCATACTATAAACACATGGGCAGAACTGGGTTTGATGGGCAGTACTGAGCTTATCGATGCCTTCTTCCTTTCTTGCCTGAAACTTTTGAATGAAAACCGAACATCCTGAGCTTAGATTCCAATTAGTCAGCGGTGTTAACGTCGACTCAATAAGGCAAACCTGTTACTGGAACTACTCATGCAAAAGTAGCCCGAAGCTCTTGGACCCGATTCGAGACAGCTCGAGGGACCACCCCCCACCCCCGTGTTCAGAGACAAGCAAGCTTGTGAATGCTGAAGAAAGGGAAAGCGGAAACCGCCCCCCCCCCAATTCCCTCCCTGCCTGTCCGTTTCCCAGGAGGACGTGGGACGAGGCCATGGTGCAAAAAGGGGGATGAAGATCCCCCTCAGGTTCTGATCCGGTAGAGGCAGCAATTTTCGGCCGCCTGCTCTTCCGCTCTCGCCTCCCCTCTCCCTACGAGCCTCACCTGCTTGTACCTCGCGTACAGGTACAGGAGCTGCTCTTTGCTGGCCACCGACACCAGCGCCGGGACCCGCTCCGCTGCCCTCTCGAACTGCTCCGCCAGGCTCGGCGGCGGCGGCGGCGAGGGCGACGACGAGAGGCTTTCCGAGTTCGATCCCGGGCCCGGAGATTCTTCCATCCTGGCCGCAGCCCCGAGGGCAGCGGAAGCCCTGTCTTCCTCCTCAGAACCGGCGTCGTCGTCGCCTCTAACCCCTTCCCCCTCGCCCTTCGCCGGGAAAAGAGAAGCCATGACCCCCCCCCCCCCAGCGCGCGCTCACACACAAACACACGCCTCCCCCCCCTCAGTCCTTCATCCTCTTCGCTCAGGAAAAACCCGCTCGCGCCCAAGTGCTAAGCCACGCCCCGATTCCTCTCCCCCCCCAACACACACACGCGGATGCTCAGGTAGGGCCCGCCTATTGCGCATGCGCAGAGCGTAGCGTCAAGGGACGGCTTAAAACGGCTAGATCGCCCCTCACGGGTTTGTCTTCCCCTCAGCCAGGAGTGTCTGTGCGCGGGAAGAACTAACTGGCCGCTGGGAAGGCGTTGAGGTACCTTCTGGCATCTACCCTCTGACAACAATTAAAACATTTGTTTGGTTTTCATAAATTAACAGGCCAATAAAGCCCTCATATTTTTTCATCCCAGTTGGGTAGAAATCCGCTTTCCTTTCACGCGTGGAGGTTTGGGAAGCGCCCGCCGGCCCGCCCTTTCCTCTTCCCGAGTAACGCAACGGGGCACATTGCCTCGGGAGCAAACGGGGGAGGCCGGAAAGAAAGGTGCCGCCGGCCGGGCAGGAAGAGTTCTTCCCTTGGACGCCCCCCACTTCGCGGCAGGGAAGGCTGTGAGGCGAAGTCGGTTATATAGTACATCTCGCGATAACTGGGAACGGATTGATTTCCGTGACTGCATGTTTTTGATTCTCTCTATCTGATCTGAGGGAATACCAGCGTAAGGACAAGATCTTGGCTCTTTTTATCTAAGTTTGCTCTTTCTTTGCCTTTCCAGAGGGGAAGCCTCTGGACAGGTTTATAGTGGGGAGGCTGACTGGGTAGCACAGTGGCTTAGGTATCTTCGAAGCGGGAGGCTGGGAGTTCGATTCCCCACTGTGCCTCCTTGGAAGGCGAGCCAACCTGTGTGGGCTTGGTTGGACAAGCTGCACAGGCCCAGAAGAAGGGAATGGTAAACCTCTTCTGAGTACTCTCTACCCAGAAAACTATAAGTGGTGCCATAAGTCAGAAGTGACTTCATGGTACATTTATTTATTTATTTATTTACATTAGGCAGTACCATCATCAACTAGTGCACTTTACTATTCAAGTAGAAATAAGTATAGTAGTGAATGCCTCCATGCAGCAGAGTAAGATCCCAACTATTTAAAGGAAGCAGCAGTAAGACTGTTATTGAAAAAAAAAACTTCCTTGGTTCTAGATAATTACAGGCCAGTCTCTAATACTCCATTCTTGGGGAAGGTGCTGGAGCAGGTTGGGGCTTCTCAGCTCCAGGGATTCCTGGATGAGAGATTATCTAAATCCATTTCAATCTGGCTTCAGGCGTGATTATGAGGCTTTCGTGGCCTTGGTGGATTACCTACACTGTTCAGAAATTCCTGAAGGTTCAAGATGCTGCAGCCAAATTTATAACTGGGGATGCTTACAGATATCATATAACTCCCCTGTTGTAGCAGTTCTACCAGCTGCTGATTTGTTTCTGGACTTTAACCTATAAAGCCCTAAATGGCTTGAATCTAAGCTATCTAAAATACCACATCTCCCTCGATGAGCCTGTCTGGGCATTAAGATCATCAGGGGAGGCCTTTCTCTCTATCCCACCATCCTCACAGAGAGGGCCTTCTCTATTGCTGCTCCCAGACTCTGGAACTCCCTCTTATGGGAAGCTAGGCTGGCCCCATCTTTGCTGTCCCTTCCCAAGCAGGTAAAGACCTTTTTCTTCAGGCAAGCTTTTCCTTAATAACTGGTGTTCTGAGAGAGGAGTTGTGCTCGGATATTTTTAATGTATTGGAGTATTGATTTTATTTACTCTTTAATATAATACTTGTTGAATCTTTTTAAATATTTGTATAGTTTTTAACTTTTAAATGTTTTCTTTTTGATGATGTAAGCAACTTTGAATCATTTTAAGGAGAAAGGTGGGATAAAAATATTTTAAATAAAATAAATACTTTTTGTTTTCTTTAAAATAAATTATTAAAAAGCATTTATGCATTTATGTTACAGTCCAAGATATCACAGGCAGCCTCTCACCATGGATAAGGGCACCAGGACCCAGTCCACCAGGCAGAGTATTGAGTCCAAAGACACTCACTGCACAGCTGGCAGTGACCAAACACAGGTGGGAGCCAGGTTGTTGGACTCGGAGGACAAAGCTGGAACAAGGTGCTAAGATGCAGGAGGCCAGCAGAAGCAAGCAGGAACCAGGGCAGGGGCATTGGAGTCCAGACATAGAGATGCAGAGACCAGGGCAGGAGCCATGGAGCTTAGGAGCAGCAAGGCATAGCTGAAGACCTTTGTTGCTGAGGGAGGAAGAACAACTCCTTAAATAGGCGTTCCTTCCAGGTTTCCAGGTGAGCCTCATGTGGCAGCTGCTACACAGGTCATGGCCTATGCCTGCAAACACCAGGCGATTCCTTGGCTAGACTGGCTTCGATCCTGCAGGTGCCAGGGTGGTGTTGGCCAGATCCTGGCAATTTAGTATTTCTTGGTAATCCAGGGTTTGTTTGTTTGTTTGTTTGGTCATAATAGTACTTATTTAATGCTCCTTAGTACCTAGATTCTTAACCTGTGGTCAGCAGACCTATAGAGGCTGCAATGTCCACTCCCTATGACACCATATGTAAAAAGCAGACCATTTTTTCCATGGATAAGGTCTTCCACCAGAGGTTTTGCAACTGCTTCAAACACATTTTTCTGAGTAACACTGGCACCAAGGACTTCTTTAAATGAATATTGCACCTCTCTGTACTCCCCAGTGCAACAGATTCTATATCCATCAGGGGGGTGAACCTGGACTGTTCTGCTATTGATCACCTCAATACAACACTCCTGGTCAGGTACACTGACTGGGCGTATCCGGCAGTATACCTCTGTAGGATCCTTCAAGCTGCTGCTGAATGCCTTCTTTGGCAGTTGCTTCCGAGGGGTCTTGGTTCTACCCGCCACCTCCATGCTGCCGAGCTCACACCGTCTGCCGCTCCGCTTCCACCCCTTTTCCCTCAGCAGCCGCTTCAGTGCTTCCTCTTCGCGGCCAACAGTTGGGTTTTTCAACGGTCCCTCGCCTGCTCTGGCCCTGCAGGACTGGGCCCCTGCTGCTGCTTCGGGCTGCCCACCCCTTCTTCAACACCAGCCACCTGGCTTGGAAGGGAGAGAGGCAGTTAAAGCCAGAGGCTTGTGCCAGGGCCCTGCTGGACCAGCGTTCCTGCCTTCGGGGGAGTTACCTGTGACATCTGCCATCCCTCAGGCAATGGGTGAGAGACACTGTCCTGAGGGAGTTTCCGGCCTGAACTCCCTTGGCCCTGCAGGACTGGGCCCCTGCTGCTGCTTCGGGCTGCCCACCCCTTCTTCAACACCAGCCATCTGGCTTGGAAGGGAGAGAGGCAGTTAAAGCCAGAAACTTGTGCCAGGGCCCTGCTGGACCAGCGTTAAAGTTTACTGTTTGAAATTTTTGAAATCACCTGCACATGATTTATTATGTTAAAGAGCACTTAATAAACCCTTTGCTAACCAAATTTGACTTTGTTCTGACTTTTTTTGACGTTCTTGTTGTAATTTTTCCCCCATTGAAATGCACTGAATTTCACTGCATTTCAGTTGGGGAACTGTGTCTCGCTTAACGATGTTTCCTATGGCGATTTTCGCTTAACGACAATAATTCGTTCCCATTGGAACGGATTATCTGGTTTTCAATGCATTTCAGTGGGAAACTGCGTTTCGCAAGGCAACGATTTTTGCAGAACGAATTAACATCTTGCGAGGCACCACTGTACCTATACTGAAAGCCTATTAGCGTTGCTATAAGTTGGTTCCTACTTGAAGGCACATAATAAAGTTACAGTTAAAGTACAGCCACTTGAAAATTATGGAGACGTTTACTCACTAAATCTGTATTGATTCAATTGCCTTACTGTAGGCAACAGGATTTTGGCTGTTACAGCATAACATATTTTCCTTGTTCAGGCAGAGTGAGGGTGCAACTACATAGCAATGGAAATGTGAATTTATTTATTTTTATTTATTAGATGTATACCCTGCCCATTTAGTGAACATGCCACTACTCTGGGCAGCTTACAAAATATTAGTAAAACCATATAAAATATATAAAAAGAAAACAAACAAACCCTACCCCACCCCATAAATTTACTTGCAATCACTCACTGTGAAGTTGTATCAGATAATTCAGTTTCCCCAGTTTCTTTGCGTTAACACAGGTAGAGGAGAAAAAGCCTTCTTTGCTGCTTGTTTTCAGTTCTATTTATAGCCTTGCAAGTGGCACCATTACAGTGGGGGCTTGACTTGAGAACTTAATCCGTATTGGAAGGCGGTTCTCAAGTCAAAAAGTTCTCAGGTCAAATCTGCATTTCCCATAGGAATGCATTGAAAACCATTTGATCCGTATTTGCTCTTTTCTGTCCATAGAAACTAATGGGAAGCTGCTATTCTGCCTTCGACCACTAGAGGGGGATATTTTGTTTCTTTTTTTCTTAGGTCAAGAAAGGTTCAGGGAAGGCAGGGAAAATACAGTCCAGGCAGTACAGTACCAGGCAGTCCGAAGACTGTCTCCCAATCCACTCTCTAAACGCTGGGAGGAGTGAGGAAGCAGACAGGCACCCTTTTCACTGGCCAACAGTTAACTGAAAGTTAACATTTTGCACTTTCCCTGCCTCCCACGTGGGTTTTTTTCAGTTCTTAACTCCAATCTAAGTATGTAAGTCAAGTCAATATTTTCCTATGAGAGTGGTTCTTAAGTCAAAATGTTCTTAACTCAAGCCGTTCTTAAGTCAAGACCCCACTGTACATATCAACTCTCTAATAAGCTGTGAACAAAGGTAAGCAAAGGTTTCTTTCCTCATTTCCTCATCATATCATCTGTCGTGAGACAAGAAGCAAGATCTTGTGTGGCTCATCCTCTCTTTTCTGGTGACTGCACATCTGAACAGATGTGAAAGGATCTGTATTTTAATAAGTAGCAGCTCTAGCTGCTGAGATCAACTACCAATTTGGGGTAAACACTCTCAGCT